CACCGCTCAAAGACTGGGAGCCACACAGCGGGACAAACTGTTTGAAATGCAAGCCCAAGCCTGGCAGGAAGTCCAAATGCAGAACACAAACGCAAGACAAACTTGCAGCATGGGAGAAAACGCGGGCCATCGCCCGCAAGCACGAGCACATGCACGCCGCCACCACTGACAGCAGCATCACCAACAAAACCTCGCCCCACCACACCAGTACCTGATCACTGGATAGTTTAGTCTGTTCGGTTTACGAATTCAAAAAGGAAGACAAAATAACAAAACTAAAAACACGAGCGTCGCATGGACCGAATCTGATGAGCAGCAGCGCGTCACACCCGCATACCAAGTTTAGTAATAGTAGTAGTATAGTATTTATTCATATTTCTCTAGGGCTTAGTGGGTAAATCTCTGCATCCAGAACAGTTCAGTTCAGATAGGAATGCAACAACACACTGGCGCACAATGTCCACTATGTCACAGTGTGGTAGGGAGAGAAGTGTTTGCAGCTTGCTGGTAGACGTTCAGCCGTGCATGCATTGGCAAATGGCTAGAGCAGACGGCCCGCTGCCCTTAATGTAAGGCACACACGCAAGCGTCAGAGCTACAGCAGCCAAACAGCATAGTTCATGGATTCATGAAAGACTGCACCATACACTGCGCCAGCTCTGGTAGGGTGCCCTTTTGAGCATCGTCACTGGTCGGTGACGTTTTGCAGGCCTCACCATCAAAGATGCGAGGTGATGCTGCTGATCGACTTGCTGGCATGATAGTCACAAGCATAACTAACGAAGGATGGCTGGAAGTCAAAACCAGCTGTAGATGTAGATTCCAGGTATACCAGACAATTACTGACGCCAGCACTTTATCCGATGCCCCATCAGCGTCAACTGTACGCCGATGGTCACAGGACCGTGACAGCCTTTCGATCGGTCTACGGTCGGGAGACGGGGCTGCAAGCCCAAAGCAGCGCGTATATAGTGTTCGTCACCAGCTGAGCAAGAGAGCTTGCTGAGAGATTTAGGTGTGCACTGTTCAGCAACCAGTCCCAATATAGGTTTGTCCATGAAGGCTGGTGATCCTCAGCTATCATACAACAAATTCCTACTCACTGCGCATATGCGCATATGGCTTGTGAAACAGCAGCAGAAACTGCACTGCCTTGACAAACGCACCAGTTACCATGATGGAGCAGATATGCCCAGCCCTGGAAGCCAACACCAAATCTCCAATCGCTAGTACAAGTAGCTCTTCACTAAATCATGCCTAGTGCATGCTTGCAGTGATATTTTCAGCAAGAGCGCTGCAGTTACTGCTGAGGAGATATATTGCGTCCTTGAAGTCGAAGGCGCTCATCAAAGATGTCTTGCCATCAATTCTTGGCCTTATGCAGGCACGAGGTGGTCTCCCGTGGCATTGGCCATATTACCCCGAGCTGCACTTGCTCGAGGAGCACGTTGTTTCGCTCATGGAAGTCCTTCGTGTTGGACTGAGTAGGCTTGCTGAGAGAACAGAGCGCTGAATCCATCCACGTCCACAACTACGAATAATTTACAAAAACATTCCGACTGCAGATCAGCGCTTGAAAACGGCGATGCAAATCAGCGACGTTGGGCTTCTCCATTCAAAAGTAGAGCCTTCCTAACGAAGCAATTCTCATGTGACACTACATAGTCTCTCAAGCACTCTAGTTCAGATCTTCTTCTCTCCACTCCATTATCATTTCGATCTTCACTCGGTCGACGTGATGGTAGTAGCTATGTAAAATTTAATAATAATGATGGATTCCTCCCGATCCTCGTCGCGGCTAAAATTTGTTCGGTGTTTGTCTAAATTCTCAAACTGACAGGGTTTACAAGAGAAATGTACCTAATTTTGTGCGATTGATGCAAATAAATCGGAATATGTCTGACTTCATAAATCCGTGCGGTAAACCGCATGAAAGGACGCCATGTCATTAGATGGTGCACATGAAGTCACCGTGCAGAATCATGAATGTTCTTCAAATAAAACTACAATTTTTTTGACTTCATTTCCTGCCAAGCTTTTGTGTTCTCCTAATTTGCTAAATCCTATAATTATATAGGATTTTGGTCATATTTTTCAACTCAAAATGGGTGTGGCATGAGAATAGCAAAAAGTATGTGACCAATTCTTCCTTGCTAGGTCTTAGTAGATATCGAGAGTTGAATAAGTCAATAAGATCATTTTTTCAAATCGGCAAACATCTCCGGCTCATCTCCTTGCCCAATATTACTAAGGCCTGGCATGTGGGATATGTCGTCATGAAACCACCCCGTGCCACACCTGCAATGTTCTTCTGCACATTCACTGCTTCAGTCCTTTCCATGACTGAACAATTATGCTCCAATTTCCAATTATTGCTGAAAATGGGTATTCATCAGAAATATTATCGCCCTATGAATCTAAAATGTAAACATTCATGCCTCAAACATAATTTACAACTTCCATGAAAACCATTTTAAAATGGTTTTCATGGAAGTTTAATTTTAATATACCGTTATTATTGGTTGTGATGACCAATAACAACGGCATAAAAGGCACACATTTTCAAATCCTATATATAGGATTTTTGGCCAGCAAATTAAGAGATAGGCCACGCCTATTTCTACCAGTATGTTTCGAATCGTTGACAAGAAAAAGCACCCCGCGCCGGGTCAATCGATGGTTGTTCTGGCGAACATTCTCTCGCAGATCTACGACTCGTATGGCAGATCAGAAGTTATCAGCTTCTCGATTGCATTCCAGGTGGTGGTACGTAGAAAATGCGAGCGATGAACATGATTTCTTTCCAAGCCGTCCGGGAGGGCCTGCTCATCAAGCGAGCGGAGATTCCAGGTGTCAAGGGCTCCGGCACTTTCCAGGATTGTGTGGAGAGGAAATCCACTCCGGCGACTCATGTCAAAGTGCAGAAGGAGCCATTTTCTTTTCTTTTTGAAATACTTGAAGTAATTGCATATCGGAGCTTCGAGCTTCGATAATTATAACAGTGTATTACTATTATTACACGCATTCCCGCGTTGAAGTGTAGCAGCAGTATGCTGCGTCCACAGCTTCGCTTATGCAGAATGGCTTGGGTGAGAGGAGAGGGGAGAGAAAACAACAAGGCAACCAATATCTATGAAATAGGTCACAATAACATGAACATGAAGAGAACCAACCTACATATGCATGATTGCACAAGAATGGAGACGACAAGTGGCTATAGTCATTGTGCCACAAAACCGGTACACAGGAGATCTGTCGACAATGTAACGAAACATAAAACTCAGTTACTCAATACAGGTTCCACTAAATTACAAGAGAACAACGCTACAACATTAGAATTGCCGCTAAATTATCGCAAGTGTAGAGAACGAGTCCAATACAAATAAAAACCATGAACAGACTGTCCCGAAGTTATTTTGGGAACAAATTGTACTACATGTACTTGCTGACACTGACGCTGACGGAACACGAATAACAGTGTATACCAACCCGAAATCGGCTTTTCCTTTGCTCGAGATAGCAAAGAAAAAAGGTAATTATAGTGCAGTAAAACCATGAGGAGGGGAGGAGGAAGGGGAATGATTAATAGTGAGGAACGAGGACAATGGGTAGATGGTCGTGAGAGAAGCAGAATGATAGATACAAATCACATCAAGGAGGGAGGGCCAGGAGGATGCTAGTGAGGCGCTGGTCTAAACCGTTTCATAGGGCGTCGATGGCTGTTTGCCAGTTCAGGTGCAGCGGATACTTGTTGCAGTTTTCCTTGAAGGACTGGAGCTGTCTGGATTGCGGCCGTGTTGCCTGTTGGTAGAATGGTCGCTGGTAGGCTGTTCCACAAGGGAAGAATGCAGCCTGGGTAAGAACCCCTGAGGCTGCTACGAGTGCGCACGGGCAACGTTGACTTGAGCTGGAGCGGGTGGCAGTGGGCAGTCTCCATTGCTAGCCTAGTGGATCGACCACCCACTGGTCGGGAGTTGGCTGGGGGTGGGGGGATGGGCTTCAGGGGGCTTTGTTGTTGGGAGGTAGACGTCTAGGACAGCTTGAAGGTGAACGAAAGCGCAGCAACCAGTATGCGGTGTTTCAGGTTGGGGAGCCAGGCTCCTGGGCCAATAACCTTCAGCGCCTTTTGCTGTATTCTGTCCAACCTGGATGTGCATGAACCTATCCACACCAGACAGCAGTATTACATCGACCACCGTTGGC